TCAATATATTTGCCGTTGGTGCCTTTCATTTGCGCCAGCCAATCTCTTGGCAGTACAGCGGCGACCCACAGGCAGGATCTGTACCTGTCTCATTGTGCATTGCCACTCATTGCAGCATCAAACTAACAGGTGTTATCGTCTTTGTAATAAATTACCTAACTCAGGATCAAGAGTCTCTGGCTGTGCTATAGTTGGCTCCAGCCCGACCCTACTCTCTAACTATGGTTAACCTCATAGGTCAAATCTCTAAAGATGCTTAAGAGGAATATCACAATGGAAGCCAATGATGATTTTGTGGGTGGATTTGGGATGCAGCCCACGCAGCCGTCGGACAATAGGCGCAGGATGCACGAGGTCCAGCTGCAGCTATGATGCAGCCAACGAATGACAAGTGAGTGGCATCATCAGCCATTGCACTTGTTCATTAGATGAGCGGTACATTTTAAACGTGCCCAGCAACGTTTGCAGTGGCGCTGGTGATAAGGCCACCAAAGCGTTTGAGGAATTCCTGGCCGTCAGTGGAATGGAATATGACGACTTTGCCGAGTTCTATGGCAACTTGGCAACAAAGGACTTCACCATCGCGACCACGCTCCTCATGCCATGGCTGCACACCTGGGCAGCACCAAACCCAAGCAACAACCCAAAGTATGATGTTGTCTCATGAGAAGTAGTAAAATTGGGCTTGCGTGCTAGACATTGCAACTGCTTGCTTGCATGATCTGCAGGACTCAAACGAGGGGGTTGCAACCCCATATGGTAAACTTGCTTCAGCAGGCATGTGTACAGAAGCGAGAAACGGGAGCTGCAGATGGCATCATCCACCAAAGCTCTGCCTACGATGAAGAAAGGTGACATAAGCATGATGCCGCTCTGCCTGAGATATGGGTGCCGGTTAAGCCATTGAGGATGGAGGCATATGTTGGCTACTGGCTCATATCACGGGGCATGACACGTGAATAGTGACCACTGGTGAGTTGTTCTCTGGGGGAAATCATGATGTAACAGGTTGATTAAGGCAACTACCCAGGTTTAAACAGGAAGAAGCCGTTGAGGAAGTATGTTGGTTACTAGCTGATACACGGAACTAAGACTTGGGAATGGTGAGATGTTCCCAGCTGGGGAAGTTATGATGGAATGGGTTGGTTTTAGGCAAGTATCCTAGTTACGACCTGAGTTCGATTCCCGGGCATGCTTTTTCTGCTTGGGAGGTGATAGCTGTGACTACAAGTATCTACACAGTTACGTTCATCACTCTGATTTTGAGGGGGGGTAATTGTCATTCATGTGCAAGCAAACAAGGGCAACTGCAGTTTTTGGATTTTGTGTCAAATTACCTCTTGCTGCATATATTCTGTATGGAGTCTCCTATACAGGGTTTGGGTGTATTTAACTTCTGATGGGCATGTTTGTCTGTCTACAGGGCCCACCCAGCAACCTGCAGCTGCTGTGGACAACACCACATGCTTTCCCCACCACACATCAGCACGCAGAGTCAGTGGAGGGTTAAAGCAGTAGTAAGGTGTGTGGCATAAAACTGCATTCTAAGTTCCACATCACAGTCATTGCAGTTCTTGATGGTCTGACAAAGGTGCTATTGTATGCCCCTGCCTGATCTTTGCTGCATACAGGCTCACAAGCTGCTTGTGGAGGACTGCTGCTGCAGCAATGTCTTGTAGTGTTAACTAACAGCGATAGAGGACTAATACTAGGCATGACTACCAGAAGGTGTTAGGGTGGATAGTGCATGTGACCTATGATGTAGCATGTTTTGAGGCAAATTTTGTTGAGAGATGGATGAGCTGCAGCTGGATGCACCCAATATGAAACTGTTTGGAGCTGTTTAGAAGCTTCTGCTGCAGCAGCTGCTGCATACAGGCTCACAAGCCGCTTGTGGAGAAGCTACTGCTAGCAGCAGCGCTGCTGCACTGTACAGTCACTGTACAGACTTGTCTTGGAGTGTTAACTGACGGTGATGGAGGACTACTTCTAGGCATGAATACCAGAAAGTGTTAGGGTGGATAGAGCGCTTCTGAGCTATAATGTAGCATGTTTTGAGGCAAATTGTTGACAGATCGATGAGCTGCAGCTGCAGCAGCCGCTGTTGTGGAAATGTTTGGTGCTGTTTGGAAGCTGCAGATTGTTTGGAAGCTGCAGCTGCTTCAGCTGAAGCAGGCAATGCATATGGCTTAATGTTGTTACATAGCAGGACTTGGGAATTTCGTATGCATGTAGCTGCTGCTAGGCGACGTGTATATGTAAAATTATGAATCCACGTACATCCCTACCCCTATGGCAGCCAAACGACGTGTTATGGAGAGACGGGTTGCGGCACAGTTGATACCCCGTAGCGGCCCAGTGGCGGGGCAGTAGCTCGTCTGGGAGCACTGCCCCGCTACTGGGTCGCTACGGGGTCGCTACTGGGTCGCTATGGGGTCGCTACGGGGTCGCCACGGGGTCGCTATGGGGTCGCTACGGGGCTCAGGAGTAACTAGTCCAGTTGCTAAGGGGGGGGGGCCGTAACACGCAGTTTGGCTGCCATAGGGATTGTTCCCCCCTCTAGCAGTGGAGGGTGTCCTCGGCCTTGGTCTACTTCAGAGGCGCTGCAGTATCCTGGGTATCACGGAATCCTGAGATCCACTGATCGGTTCTTCTCCGAGAAAGACGTGATACAACAGGTGCCGTCCCTACCTATTACACGGGGGTGTCACCTATAGGTGACCGAAACATCTACTGCCACTGGCCGTCGTATGTGGGCTCACTGCAGCTTATAATTAGTTGTGCCTTTTGGGCGCTATTTTTCTCTTCTCCCGCTAGTGCGACATTTCTTTTGTAGCTTTGTAGCTCAGGTTTTGCCCTTGGGACTTCGGTCGTTCTGCAGGTATGGGCGGGGGCATGCACCCCCAACCATGTAAAACGCACACACACATATATACATATAGCAATTAACGAGGTTGATCCAGCAAGCCATGGTAGTAATGATGATAAAGCAATCGACTGCGTAGCGTATACGTATGTGCATACAATTTATTGTGACAAATATCGCGCATGCCCTCAGTGCTGGGAAAGACCATCTTCCATGTCGTCACTTGAATCCATATTGTCCCGCTTCCCTTCCATATTCTGGTGGAACAATTACGGAAAAGGAATGTTAGGTTTTCTTTGTATGTTGGCATATCGCGAGCTTAGATCGGTTCTGTTCTGGCGTCGTGGTGATCTTTGCATGCGGTAAGCTCGCGATACCATTTAAATATGACACCATATACATGATGTCATAGTATGGCATCATTTAGTATCCTGTGCATATCACGGGATCTGCATACACCGATATCGGTACTTTGGTACTTTTCTGAAGTCGTAGTATAACATATCATCTATAGAGAACCCAATCCATACCCGGGTTCGGATCAGGTTTGATGGAATTCCTGAGCGCTGAGTGACGGGCCCCGCGGCCCCGCTGGAATGGGCTGCAGCCAGCTGGGAATGGGCCCCAGCTGGGTCAAGGACGCCCTCAGCTGGAGACAGCATGATATGCTATCCTAGGCGAATCGCAGAAATTGTTCAACATGTGCGTTCTATCTCTTATATCTGCTAGACGCCATCGATGGAGACATGATTTGTATCATGTCAAAGTATATCTGTATGTATCTTCCCAGGCCTGAAGTCAGCACTACTTCCTTCAAGCCCCACCCAACAGCGCTTGCTTCGTAAACATGCATATATGTAATTTGTCATCTCCTATACATGCTAATTGTGCAATAACAGTTTATAAGTACATACTGGTATATGTTGTATACCACTGCTGCACGCTCTCTTACCAGCTGTACCACAGAGCCCGGCAATAACGGTTCGCCATTCAAGTCCCTTGCTGGAGGTTGGTACCCCTTGCCAAGCGATATCAGCACCCCGTCACTGTCACGAACCAGCCACTGGGTACCCGGCTGGTCGACCGTGGAGAAAACGAGCTGGCCAGCCAGTTGCCGTCGGTTGTTGCCGATGATCCCAGCTGGTGGCGGTGTGATGCGCCGTGGTGGCCGCCGTGGGCGCAGGGGAATTGTGGCTGCACTACAAATCTCCGCCACTGAAAGGAATCAACGGTGGTGGGCAATCGGTGTGTGGGGACCAAGGGTGGGGGGACAACTGAGTAATCTAAATAATAGTGCATGGACACATACCAGCAGCAGGCAGGGCCATGTCGGTGCAGGTATGCAGTGCTTTGTATAATTCAACTGCACATGCATCTGTGCAGGACGCACGTTCGCCTGTCTTAAAGCTACGATGCCTGGAGAAAATATGCATGTGGTCTGGTCTGGTGACACCTCAGCAATCAGCAGAAGGGTTGACCCCGATATTGATCGGGAGTATTAGGTATACAAATTGCTGCTGAGGTGTGGGGATGAGGTCTCGTTGATGGACTAAGTTTCACATGCTGAATTGGTGGCGATGGATGACCTATCTCTTCGGATGTCGGGTGACTGGATGAGGCGGGGTCTAGATAGCAAGACCAACCATTGGTTATACGGTGGAACCAACTTTCAATAAATACAGTCCATGGCCTCACGGATTTGACGGACACCCCCGCACTCGTGCGGAACTTGTAACTTTTCACTTGTACGGACTATGTTCATATCAAGCAATGAGTAATGAATCTCGTAATACGCAATGCAAATACTATTATATACTAGTTCTTAAACCTGGTCCCAAACGGATACATTTCCTGTCTGGTTTTTCCTTTTTTGCTTGGCGCGGTTGTTGGACAAGTTTGCCAGAACTAACCGAATTCCAACCGCCTATATTGCCGCCTTTCTGTCAGATCTATGGCTCTGACCTCTGGGTCCGACGGTGAGCGGCACGCTGTCATGGATGCCTACAAGTAAACGCCACCTCAGGTGGAAGTCCATACTTGCAGAAGTGTGGGCGGGGGTCCTAGCACAGTCTACGACTGGGACACTGGTCCCTGGCTCTTGGAGCCCCATCATCGCGATCGATCGGTTGGAAGCATGGGTCAACTGTGCGCCATTCCGGGACTGGCCGCACCCTTTCGGAACTGGCTGTACGATTCATGTGATGGCTCCATCCCTGCTATTTAAGCGGACAAAACTCTTCCAATCGGTGTCTTCCGATGCCACCATCCAGTTGTGCCTTGGTTAAGCAGCCCCTCACTCAAACATGATGCAAGGTACGAGTGCCAGAATAAAAACTCCGTACAACTCCAAAATGTGAAGGCCACGGCTGGCCGCGCAAAGGCCAGCTCTCAAAAGCCGGGAATGCGGACTTTACATTTATGTGCGCAAAATTCGCAGGCATGTGAAAATTGCGAGGGAGCCGAAGCGGCTTCATAAACATGCCCAAAATGTGAAGCCCTCGGCGGGCCGCACAAAGGGTCTGACCTTCAAGAGCCAGGCGTGCTGGTGGGATAAGCATCATGCGTGTGGAAAATTCGCGGGCGTGTGGTGATGGATGCCACATTGGCTGCTGTGTGGACCGGCCACTTGGTTGCCTCTGCTGCTGTGAAACACCATAGCGTGAAGTCGAGCGGGCGTGTCCGCAGGTCATTTGGCATGCAAGAGTCCACAGAACAATTGAACTGCTTAATGGCTGCTTAAAAACAAAAATGCGAAAACAAAGAAATAAGAAAGGCAATTAAAAAACACCAACATAAAGGATAGCTTGCAATGACACGGGAAGTAAGCGGCAATGTTGAAAAAGGGAACTTTCAATGGAGAATAGAATATTCGCTTGCTTGGCTTGCTGAGAGCAGCCTTCATAAGCAGCGGACATGGGCAACGTACACCGCATTGCCGGCAAGGGTGGTGCTGGCCTTCATCAGACCCGAGAGGAGCACTGCAAGGTCGTGCAGTCTTTGTATGATCACCAAGCGGCATTAAACCTGGGCACATGCAGCTTCGGTTGGCACGGCAGGCTGATGATAGCAGTGCACTGTTATCAAGATGCGCAACGCTTGCTGCATGTTGCGGGCACGTCAGGCGTGTTTCAGAGAGCCCACATCCAGCATGCGTTGCATTTTTTTATGGAAAGACTGGTCTCAACTTGCATTCACCACAGCCGCCTGCTTGTTTTGCTGCCTAAAGACATGCCTACATCCCCCCACCTCACTGCACAACCGCACCCTAAAATGCACCGCAGTTCTACAAACTTTGTGTTGTTGACAGTGCGGGGGCACGATACATTTCCCCTTCTGTGCACTACCATTCTCATTTGTCATGTACGGCAAGCCACTACCGGCAAGCCACTACCGCCACCGTACAGCTGGTCACCCTACAAAGCCGCAATGAACGCGGTCAGCTGCTTCACCAGAACCCCTCGATGATTAGATACAACAAATACATGAGACTACATTACTGCATGACTGCGTGTATATGGGGGATGAGGGTACGGGAAGGGAATATCAAAGTCAGGTCTTACCTCATCATGCAACACCCTCACATGCATATATGGGAATGGCAGCAGGTACCGTGGGTTATCGCTGTGTCGGTATTTTCGAATTCCTAGGTCTTGTGGAGTGTATCCGTCTCCTCCGTCCATGCATGTAACATATACGATAGTTCAGCACTCAGCATCAGCATTTCGGGTCAGATTGCAAATCTACTTCAGGGAAGGTTATTGACCGTGACAGATATCGATCCTCCAAGTCATCAGTGTAAGTGTTACCAGAAGAGCCCGACCTCTGTATGTCTATAAGGATGAACACATGTCCATGGATCTTCTCTATGCATATCCATGTCAACTACTTCCCTGTTAAGTTGTCACAAACTTCATAATGCCGGATAAAGCTGGGTTTGCCTACATCAATCCCGTCAATCTTAAATCCTAGTCCGGGGGACCCAATTAAAGCTATTTATCAATTCAAGCACAGCCTGCTCACACACTCAAGCCCATAGGATGTGTCGCCACATAGCTATAGACTGCTGCACTGAGATAGCGACAGTAGTAAGTAAAAATAATTGAACCCATGACTAATAACAAGCAGCAGCAGGTCGTCAGAATTGCGACCGCTAAAGCAGTCTTATGACCAGCTGTAGTAGCTGGCTGCTGGAATGGCTTCGCAAGATGCTGGTGGAGCGCCTTAGCGCGTACTTGTAGTTCATATGTGTGCCGTACTGTGTACCAGCTACTACATTCCTTTGGCGGGACAGATCCTATGAGCTTCCAGAGACACTATGCAGCGCCTTAGTATGATGTGTGGGACAGGAGGGTCATATGACCCTCCTGTGAAGATATGCATATCTTCACCCGGGGCCGCTACCCTGTGAAACCGTGCCTTCCCCGGTATTTTGGGGCACCCTTATCCAGTCACCCTTAGCCGACTTCTCAGTGGATCGCTTAGGTTCAGCAACCATAACCAGCATCCAGCGGAATCTGCTGGATCAACGGCAGCTCAACTCCATTCCTGATCAGATCGCTGGTCGCACTTTAGTCCAGGTCACTACCGTAGATCGACTGTAGCTAGGGGTACTCTTACCTTCCACCATCGGAAGGATTTTCAACTCTGACAGGTCTCAATCCCGAAACATCCGGGGGCATCGGTGTTTGTGTTACCAGTAGTGCCTGATCTATGTAATATATTCGCTGGTGTGTCTGTCTGGAGCTGAACGCTTATCCTAAGGATTAACAGCAGATGATATGTGCCGATGGCTTTCCACAACAGCGTAATCCAACGGAGTCCCAATGTGTATGCATAGCTAGCAATGCTACGAGGCAATGGAGGCGGTGTACCCTGGCTATCAACTCGACCAACTCTTCATTGGGGCTTTCAACAGGCCCAAACACGCTGTAAAGGCCCTGCCTGGGCCTTTCGTTGGCTGTTGTTACGATTTGTTTGGCCCTTCTGTCGAAAGCTCATGAGCTTTGATCAAATCATGCTTTTAGATGTTTCCCTTGGCTCCCGCTCATTCCTATCATGATTGCATGTCGGTGGCCAGGTGGTCTTGGGGGGGATGTGCGGGGTCGTGGGGCTGCCGCCCCACTTCCCCGCACTTTCCCCCTCTCCTGCCCCTTGTTCTTGGAACGTTTTAGGCGACAGTTTTTATCGGCTGGCATTGGCAAGCATGTGGGCTGTGTGCCTTTTCCAATGATTGGAACGGTTTGTTTTCTTGCATTGGTCGTACAGTGCAAATTGCCCACACATTGCTAATTGTTGCAACTTCCCGACTCTCAGCCACCGCCGATGCTGCTGCGGTCAGGGGGGCGGGCCGTCACTGACCGGGCCCAGCGGCGTGTGCAGGGACTGCCGTTGACTGCAGGTGTTGGGGTGGAAGGGGTGGAAGGGGTGGTGTTGGGGTCGCCAGGGGTGGGGCGGCCGCTGGGGTCGGCAGCATGGCGGGTGGTGTAGAGCCGCCGATGGGGCCACTGCCGCCGGGGCAGGCGGGGCTAGTGCTGAAGCGGGTGCCCGCCCGTTGTGAACCAGGCCGTGGCGGTCGTCATCGAAGGTGACATCGCTGCTCACAGTCACCATGCCCTCTACATGGACACGGTGGGTGGCCGTGCCATGCTCTGGTGGGCGGTAGGTTCCCCCCTTTGCACGAGGACCAAGTTTGTCCTGCTGGCTGGCTGGGATGCGGATGTAGGCCAGGCAGGTGAAGGTGTGGAGGTGGCTGATGTCGGGGGGGATGCCGTGATAAGCTGCCCACGCTGTGGCCTCCTGGCCTTGAGAGGGGGCCGCATTGTGCAGGAGGTTTGTGTAGAGTGCAGCTTCCAGCCAGTAGCTGATTGGGAGTGCTGCATCATGCAGCATCGCCCGAACACGGTCGAGGAGCATGTGGTTGAGTCGCTCCACCGCTCTGTTCTGCTCTGGGGTGTATGGTGCCGAGTGGTTGTGTGCAGTGCCGTGCTGGTGCAGCCACTGCTCCAGTTGCTTGGCGACGTACTCACTGCCGTTGTCACTGTGCAGCGTGTGCACCCATGCATGGTTCGGGTGGCAGGCCTCCAGCTGCATCACCATGTCCTGCAGCACTTCGCCCTGGCTCTTGCTGGCCAGCATGTGGACGGTGGACAGACCAGTGGGACCGTCCAGCCACGTCAGCAAGTAGCATGCACCCCCTCGGCCCATGGCCGGCATGGGCCCACACAGGTCAGAGTGTACGACCTCCAGTGCGACCTCCAGTGCTATGGCCGGTTGCCACGGCTGGGGTGGGCGGTTGCAGTGGCCTTCACGGTGACACAGGCCTTGTAGA